ATGTAGAAAGGCTGTTTTAAAAACATTCAATGTTGACTGTGTTTGCCTGGCAGGCGTGGGGCTCACAAAAAATGACAAAATTGGGAAAAATTAAATTTCCAAGGAAACAAAAAACCATCACCTTTCCTGCATTTCAGATGCATCCTAATGCACAACACATGCATCAGAATATGTCTAGGTGCTGTCAAACCCTAATCCTAACCCTAGCTCGGGCACTTCTAGAACAAATTTCAAAATCCTGGTCTGCTGATACAGTCCTACAGAAGTAATCTAAATGAGTACAAATTGTTCTGAAACATTCACACTAGCAGTATTTCAGTGCTTTAAATGTATATTCTTTAATTCTATTTTAATTCTTCATTATTTCGTTTTTTTCAACCTGCTGCTGAAATGGCATATTAACTGACCATGTTGCTTGCCATTTAAGGGTTAGGATTACATTTACCTCAATAGTTTTGATGTCATTTCCATTTCGTTTGGGTTAAACCACAAAACATAAGATTATTCGGCACGGAGAAAGGCTGTTTTCAAAACTTTCAATGTTGACTGTGTTTGCCGGACAGGGGTGGGGCTCCCGAAAAACGACACAATTGTGAACATTCTGATTTTCATGAAAACAAAACACCATCCCTTTTCCTGCATTTCAAATGCATCCTAATGCACAACACATGCATCAGATTATGTCTAGGTGCTGTCAAACCCTAACCCTAACCCTAACCCTAGCTCGGGCATTTCTAGAACAAATTTCAAAATCCTGGTCTGCTGAAACAGTCCTGCAAAAGGTAGCTAAATGAGTACAAATTGTTCAGAAACATTCACACTACCAGTATTTCAGTACTTTAAATGTTTCTGCTTTCATTCTGCATTATTTCATTTTTTTCAACCTGCTGCTGAAATGGCATGTTAAATGAAACTGTTTCTTACCATTTACGGGTTAGGATTACATTTACCACAAAAGTTTTGATGTCATTTCCAATTCATTTGGTTTAAACCACAAAATATAAGAGGATTCAGCATGTAGAAAGGCTGTTTTCAAAACTTTCAATGTTGACTGTGTTTGCCTGACAGGCATGGGGCTCACAAAAAATGACAAAATTGGGAAAAATTAAATTTTCATGGAAACAAAAAACCAACACCTTTCCTGCATTTCAAATGCATCCTAATGCACAACACGTGCATCAGAATATGTCTAGGTACTGTCAAACCCTAACCCTAACCCTAGCTCGGGCACTTCTGGAAAAAATTTCAAAATCCTGGCCTGCTGAAAAAGTGCTGCAAAAGTTAGCTAAATAAATAAAATTGTTCAGAAACATTCACATTAGCAGTATTTCAGTACTTTA